GCCAGCCTTCTGGTTAGCAGTCAAGTGCTTTAGCCACTATGCTACCAGAGCTCCTATTATCTTCATAATCAATATAATTTTAGCAATCAGTTTCTGCAGAAAATCATCTTACATACTCTTGATCAGTTGCAGGCACCCAGGTGAGCTAATGGGAAATCCACTGCTGGTGGGAAACCTCACTGTTACAAAGCTGGCCAAAGTTAGCATGGGAGTCTGGACAGCCTGCATGAATGAACATGGAGTAGAGAAAGAGAGAAGGTACTCATTACTTCTAGCCATAATTTTGTCCCTTAGAGAATTGCTGGGTGTCTGCAGACTGATCCTCTTGAGAAGCTAGGGGTAGGCCTGCAGACGCTGATGCTAGGTGAGTTCACACAAACATGTTCTCTGTCTTTAAGTAAGACATGATCGTTCTTTTCTCTAGTAAAAAGAAGAAAGAATTTTCTGCTAATAAAGGAGAATTTTCTCTGGGTCACTGAAGGTCACAGCAGGGTGGACGGCTGCCCTCTGCCACTCAGAGCAACAGATTGGATGATAAGAAGGCTGGGACTGAGCCTTGTCCTGCCAAGCAAGGGGCCCCAACTCTCATTCCAGCCCCTCCCTTCACAGTCCCTGGATCCTCTGGGCAATAGTGGCACATTGAGAGGGCCTAGGCAAAAGGTTTCAGGTAACTCATAGACAGTAAGAAAGATGCTTAGCTGTCTCAGAGGTACAACCCCCCACCCCCACCCCCGCTAAGCTCAGGCTTCTCCTTCTGTTCTCAGGAGAGAGAATTCTTAAAGTTATAAAGAACCCCCTGACTTGTTATGAAAATAATATCCTATCCTCCAAGGTTGGCAGTGGAAAGGGCACTTGCTTTCCAATACCTCTAGAAGTACCTCAAAATGTTTTCAAGTCTTTCAATAGGGGCTAATGCCACCCTGTTGTCTTGGGTCTAGTAGACTCCCATACCTCCTTCTAAGCTGTTCCTAGGTCTGGTCCCATCTCTTAGGTAATCAGTTCCAGGAGGACTCCTGGCAAGGGCCACTGATGTTGCATCCATCTCCCCCCACCCCCAAGAGTCTCAGGGACCTAAATACTTTTTATTTTTTCCCTCATCAAATCTCTAGAATCTTTTCCTGGCTTCTAGGAATGATGGTTTGAAGGTTAAAGCCCAGGCCTCTGGTTCTTTCCCAGGCTGAATTTGGGGCAGAAACCACTAATAAAGAAAGAAGCCTCCAAGTTTTCAGTCCTTCAGCTGCCTCATCACACATTCCCACAGTGCTTGCCAATTGCCATGTGTCTTCCTGCTGGTGCACAAATGGTACAGAAACCAGATGTGCCTGTCTTGTACCCATTGTATCCCACACTCCTCATTTAGTGCCTGTAAGCAGGTATTTGTGGGTGTGACTCCTGGTCTGTTCTCCAACTTGAAAATGGGTCCATGTTATTTTTTTCTCATGATCCAAACTGTCCCTTCCCCTACTTGCTAAATACAGAGGTGATGTCGAGTGATTTTTCTTTTCCTGTGTCAGTTTCCCCTTTCTTTGTAATCCCCTACCCCTTTCAATGATACTTTTCTTGTCCTCACTTGACAGTCCAGTACTTATCAATCCATCTAAGGAGAGGATTTGAAAAATAGAACCACAGGGTTGATGCTGAAAGGGCTGAGTCCCAGAAAAGTCTAGTGACTTCCCTAAGGTCACACAGCAGGTACTTCAGGCCCAGTCTACCTCAGCCCAATACAGGTTCTGTTGCCTGCTAAGAGCAGTTTCCAGCCTCATTTCTCCCCTGATTCACACTTGTATTGATGTGCAACGTAGCAACTCAGGCCCTTTTTAAACCGACCCAGATTACTAATTACTGCCTTCCAGACCTCTACCCCTCACACTCCTCAAACTCTGTCAAACCTTCATTGTCCATAACACAGCACTTCTTGATGTTACAAAGTGATAATAGCTGAGGAAGGAATCACATGCAATTTCTAAAATAAGACAAAATATGTGAAACTCAATATGGGACTATGGGCTTTTCCTGATCCCCAGAGTCACACTACATATATTGTGAATGATTTTCTGCTCAAAAGGCTCACTCTATGTGCCATTCTATCCTGCAATAAAGGGAACGACTGGACTATGTGATGCTAATCTCCTTTACACAGTTTATAAGGCTTTCCTTGAAATAGCTCCTGCCTACCTCTCCATCCTCGCCATGCCCTCTTTACTTTATCCTTAATTAACTTTCATTTCTTCAAATGCCATGATAATCTCTCTCTAGTTTTCTCAGTTTCACTTTATAATA